AGTATTTGCCACTCTCCGACGAAATCAAACGCATGTGGGAAATGGGCAATGTGTCTATAATACCAGTTTAATAGGAGCTACTGGAGAGATACCAAGGAAACTACACAAGAGTCTGGAAAAGCTACAGCTCCATCCAAAAATATACTTGCAACTGCAAAAAGCTGCACTGCTGGGAACGTGTAGGACAGTACGTAGGGTGGTTTAGGAGATGAGAACCGGATACGGGTGAAAAGACCGCTGCAGATCTATTCCTTACTTGGCGAACCGCCGGAGGGAAGAATACCTGCGACAGAGGAGAAAGAGTAGAAAAAAGAAGAATAATAAGAATAATAAGAAGAATAAGAATAATAAATAATAAGAAAAGATAAGAATAGAATAATAAGAAATAAATAATAAGAATAATAAGAATAAGAATAAGAAGAAGAATAATAATAATAACTAAAGAATAAGAATAATAAGAATATATAATACGAAGAATAATAATAAGAATAATAATCATATAATAATATAATAATAATATAAGAATATATAATAATATAATAATAATAATATAATAATAATAAGAATAATATATAAAATACTAAAATAATATAATAATAATAATAATACTAATATAATACTAATAATAATAATAATAATAATAATAATATAATAATAATCATAATCATATAATAATAATAATAATAATAATTAATAATAATATAATAATAATAATATAACTAATAATATAATAATAAAATAATAATATAATTGGAGCTCTTGCCATACCAATCATGCAATACAGCTTTGGTATAATCAATTGGACATTGGATGACATAAGACAAATGGATCGCAAAACAAGAAAACTAAGGACAACACATAATATCCTTCATCCCAAAGCAGACATCGACAGATTATACGTGCCACGAAGAAAGGGGACGAGGACTAAAGCAAATAGAAGAAACGTACAACATACTATCTTCTAAATAGGGCAATATATTCAAACTAGATCTGAGCAAGACCGCCTACTACAGATGTTACTAGCACATGACCAATAGGAAACCAACAAATAGATCTATTGTAAAGCGTAGTAATAAGATCAAATTAGAAGCTGCGGAAACCGGACATACGGTCGAGCGAGGTAACAGGTCCATCAAACTGTACTTGAAGCAATGTGTCGAAGAGAAATGGCGAGTAAGCCTCTACACGGACAGCATATCCGTCAAATGGAGGAGCTTCCGGTTGACTTAAAACTGTCATTTGGATGGTTACAATACGGAGATTTAAAGGGGAAACCGAAAGCTTGCTGGTGGCAGCACAAGACCAAGCCTTGAAAACGCGTTACATTGAGCAAGCAATACACAAGACGAGGAATGACGGTAAATGCAGATTGTGTCACATTCATAATGAAACTGTTGAACATATAATATCTGCATGTCCAATACTAGCGCCAAAAGAATATACTGACAGGCACAATAATGTCTGCGCAGCCATCCATCTAGAAGCGTCTCGCCACCTTGGTTGTCCAATAAAATCGACGACGAAATGGTATGAGCATCACCCCGACAGGATAACACGAAGTGAAGATGGTAGTATCACAATAATGTATGACCATCCCGTTATCACGGATAGCGAAATAAAAGCACAACAGACCAGATATTGTTATAAAACCACCGAAAGATGCTATATAATTGATATATCGGTACCTGCAGATAGACATGTCATTACAAAAGGAGGCTGAAAAGCAACTAAAATACAAATCATTACTCATAGAAGTGCAAAGAATGTGGCATACAAAGGCAGTTGTTATTCCCGTAGTGATTGGTTCAACTGGATATGTCACTCGCAACATCCTAGATAACCGAAAAAGGATACCAGGAGATCAGAATTTCTAGCAGTACAGAAGATCGCCTTATTAGGCACATCGCACAGAAGGAGGAAAGTAACATATCCAGCTCATAAACGGCAATGAGCGTACCCCGCAGGTCTCGGCGAGGACCCGGGGTAGAGGTCAAACCGGTCCAAGCGGATACCGCGACGAAGAGAAAACGGGCCGGGAGCGGGAAAAAAAAAAAAAGAGAAGAAGAAGAGAAGAAGAAGAAGAAGAATAAGAAGAAGAATAGACGAATAAGAAGAGAAGAAGAGAAGAATACGAAGAAGAATAACGAAGAAGGAATAAGAGATAGAAGAAGAAGAAGATAAGAAGAGAAGAATAATAAGAAGAGAGAAGAGAAGATAGAAGAAGAAGAAGACGATACGAAGAAGAAGAATAAGAAGAATAAGAAGAGGAAGAATAAGAAGAAGAAGAATAATCAGAAGAAGAAGAAGAAGAATATAAGAAGATAATACTAGAATAAGAAATAATAATAAGAAGAATAATAATAGATATATAGAATAATAATATAAGAATAATAAGAATAGAATATATAAGATAAGAATAAGAAGAAGAATAATAATAAGAAGAAGAAGAATAAGAGAAGAATAATAATAATAATAATAATCATAATAATAATAAGATATAAGAATAATAATAATATAATACTAATAATAATAATGAATAATTAATAATAATAATAATAATAATAATAATACTAATAATAATAATAATAATCATAATAATAAGAATAATAATAATAATAATATAATAATAATATATAATAATACTAATAATAATAAATAATAATATAATAATACAATAATTAATAATGATAATAATAATAATATAATATAATAATAATCATAATAATAATAATACTAATAATAATAATAATAATATAATAATAATAATCATAATAATAATAAAATAATAATAATAATATAATAATATAATACATAATAATAATAATAATAATAATATAATAATAATAATATAATAGCAGCAAGATGAACAGTTAAATACTTAGGCTATCTACAAGCGCCGGCATAGACCAGAAAGCTGCAAAAGAAAAGGGCATGGAGCACTATAGAACACGTTTGAGGCGCGGTGCTGAAAACAAGTCTGTCAGCTCGTAATACGCACTGCTGTCAGCACCTACGCTACTTCGGTCCTTACCTATACGTTTGGCATACTGAACTGGACGGATACAGACTGAACGCACTTAATGTGGAAACCCGAAAAGATTCCGTAAATACCGGGGGCCACACCACATAGTTCCATAGAGCGGTTCCATCTACCACGAAGTGAGGGTGGCAGAGGAATACCTTGCATACCTACACTACATCACCGCCAAGTGGACAATCTACGCCAGTACTTCCTCCAAAAAGCCACATCCAGCAGAAATGCATCAAGCAATAACACAGACGGATAAAAAGTTGACACCACTAAACCTTTCAGAAAAAATCTTTCGACCCTGAGGCCAAAGATAACCCCAATGCAGGATCTGGTTCGCCAATGGAAAGCCAAACCACTACATGGTCGGTATAGGAGCCGCATAGAAGACAACGCCATTGACCGAAGGCTTCCCAAGGATGGTTGCAGTCAGGTAATCTGTTCCTGGAGACGGAGGCTTCATAGCCTCCATCCAGGATCAGGTAGTCCCAACAAAGTTGTACCGAAAGCCAGTGGCGGCTCGTGCCAATTCAGTGAGGTAGTGCCGAATGGAAGCCATAATTTTGAATCGATTCAAAATTGTAAGAATAACTTATAACTTACCCCTGATAGTTAGTGGTCAAAGTTCTTGAGGTTCAATAATCTATATGTCCAAAAAAAATCAAAAATAAAACTATTTACACACGCGCACCAAATTATAAAACAAGTGTGGAGAAGTACCTATAACTTCAAAGTTTTCTATACATGAAGTCCATTCTTCTTTCTTTTTTGGTAGCGAAGTTTTCGATTACCTTATTATTAAAATTTTCAATGCCACTAACAAAATGTTTTTCTGCAGACAGCATTCCTAAAGCACTAAGCCTTTCTTCCTTCATTGTGTTTCTGAGGAAAGTTTTAATCCGTTCAGCATTTAAAAAGAGCGTTCTGCTTCAGATGTTGACATCGGTATAGTGATTAAAATACTTAAGAGCTTAAGAGTTTCTTGAAACGTACAATTTAATCCTTCCTCGTTCAATAAAATGGATAGTGGAACAGCTCCAGAAGTAGTACTCAATTCTTCTCTCTGATATAATACTTGTAACTCAGTTTTAAGCCTGTTTTTGTCTAAAAATGAAAATTGTGTGCATGTGTCATTCAAATGTGCTTCAGGAAACTGATGTTTATAAACAGAAAACTTTTCAGACACAAATAAATTAGAAGCAACTAAATGGCCAGAAAAGTTAAATCTTGTTCTTATTTGCGATAATACTGCATCGCATATTTCTAACGCTTCCCGTTTTTTGCTGCCTTCTTCAACTTGCCTTTTTTTCTTGGCGGTTCATCAGTTTCTCTCTGCACTCGTTCAATCTCGTCAATAATGCTATCCATTTGTTCTCGTATAGTTTGAATTGCTGCTTCAAAATTCTCTAAATCATTTTTGACCTTAACAGAATCGGTGCATACTTTTTGTAATTGGTTAAAGACAATTTCAACATGTGGCATTATTTTATGGAATATACTTAGCCAAAATACAAAATTTGTATCTTGCAGCTTTAATTTGTACCCACTGGCTTGATTAATCGAACAATCGCGTGAAGTACTTTCTATATTGTCCATAACTTCAATCAGGTCTTTCCTATTTTCATAAACTGTATGAACACCTCGTGACTGAAAATTCCAACGTGTTTGGGAAGATCTTGGCAATCTGCGATTAACTATTTCATCCAAAATTTTTGTTCTTTGAGGAGACGTCGAAAAAAAAGAGCACAATCCAGATAAATTATGGAAAAATATTCTAGCCTGCTTATTGACAGAGCATGCGCTTGTCATAATTAGATTTAACTGGTGTGCATAGCAATGAACATACTTTGCAAGTGGATAAGTTTCCTTAATAATTTTTTGAACGCCCATTCAATTCACCACTCATAACAGACGCACCATCATAGCTTTGAGCTATTAATTTTTTTGGATTTTGATCTAGTAATGGATTTACAACATTTAAAACGCATGCAGCGATTGATTTGGCATCGTGTCCGTCGGGGACGTAAAATCTCCAAAATCTCTCAACTGGTTGTCCTTTACACAAATATCTGAAAATAATAACTAACTGAAATTCACAGGCTACGTCAGTCGTTTCATCGGCAATTACTGCAACAAAAGGAGAATTTGGAATCTCCTTCTTAACTTCTTCATGATAAACATCTAGCATGCACTCAAGAAGCTCATTTTGAGTTGTTTTTGAGGTACCCTTGAAAAGTTTGGCACTTTGAATATGGACTTTCAATTCGTTGTCTAATTCGGCGCTAAAATTCACCAGCTCCTTAAATATGCCACTGTTTTCCGAATTTTCCTTTTCATCGTGACCCCTTAAGGCTAACTCAAATGCTCCACAAAACCTTATACAATTAATAATTTTATTCAATACATATCGATTCTTATCCACTTGATTATTATGTTTAATTAGATCATTGCGATAAGCCGAATTGAGTTGAGTCCTTATATTTAATTTACCAAGAATAGAAAAGCTAAAAACATTATTCATATGGACTTTAGATTTTTCGTGGGTCTTCATTTTATCCCATATATGTATAAGATCGTCTGTACCTTTTTTGACCAAGTCTCGTCACCTCCAAATAGAACACATACAAAACAAAATAGTTTATTCGTTTCTTCACAACCACATATCCAGCTGTTTTTATCGTACACATTTTTATTAAATTTGCGACAGCGCGATTTTTGTCCGCTACCACTTTGTTTCTCAATTTTTAAATCGGGTATTGGCCGTCCTAATTCTTTAATTTGCAGTTTTTGATCCAGCGAAAAACCACTGAATGAGTTTTTTAATATCCCGATTTTATTCATTTTCACTAGTTTTAATAAAACAGTAAAAAATATGATCACAAAACACAGCAGTTCATTAACACTAGACGTACTAAAACAAAAAGGTATTTTTCACTTTTCAGGTAAAAAAAGAACGAAATCAGCACTAGACGTAATCATAACGAAACGACCGACCGAAACAAAAACACCGCCGATATCACTTGATAACGAATTACGACTGATGATGTGCCTGGCACAAATTATACTTGTCTTTCGCTATTCACCTCATATAAAAATGTGTAGGGTAGCGTTATCTCTGTCGCTCGTATGCGATGCTGGTAAAATTTCTCTCTTTTTATTTGGGCCGGCCCAAAATTGGCACAAGTTGATGACGTCAAGGTCAAGGCATGCTTTCCGTCTCGTCGCGTGGTTCGGGTGCTTGCGGTGTTGTCACGTTGTCAGTGTTGTCACTTCATAATTTATACCAAAAAAAATGAAAAAGCAGAAATAAAGTAAAACATTGAAGATTGAAAAAAATATTCTTTTTGAAGAAGACAAGGTAGTGCCATGGCACCGTGGCACTACCTCACGAGCCGCCACTGCCGAAAGCGTATAATGCATGAGAACGTTGACGATATCAGATGCCGCATATGTGGGGGGAAAAGATGAGCACATAGATCATATTGTAGCAGGGTGCTCTCCCTTAGCTCCTAAACAATATCTTGAAAGGCACAATGATGTGGCCAAAATACTTTATCAAGCTTTGGCTAAAAAGCATCTAGGAGAAACTGGTACACAGCCCTACTATAAATACACGCCGCCACCTGTGATAGAAACGGAGACCTCTAGGCTGTACTGGAACCGTAAAATCATAACTGACAGGCCCATCCCCAACATATTCCTGACATAGTGCTCACACTAAAAGAAGAAAGAACGACGTTTATAGACATAGCTGTGCCTCTTCCTACTAATATCCAAACCACCCATGCGGAAAAAATCAATAAGTATTTGCCACTCTCCGACGAAATCAAACGCATGTGGGAAATGGGCAATGTGTCTATAATACCAGTTATAATAGGAGCTACTGGAGAGATACCAAGGAAACTACACAAGAGTCTGGAAAAGCTACAGCTCCATCCAAAATATACTTGCAACTGCAAAAAGCTGCACTGCTGGGAACATGTAGGACAGTACGTAGGGTTTTAGGAGATGAGAACCGGATACGGTGAAAAGACCGCTGCAGATCTATTTCCTTACTTTGGCTAACCGCCTGAGGGAAATATTAATACCTTCGACAGAGGAGTAAAATAGTATAAAATAATAATAATATAATAATAATAATAATAATAATATAATAATAATAATAATATAATAATAATAATAATAATAATAATAATAATAATAATAATACCCCGCAGGGGGTATCTACTTTTGAAGCTGGATCTTTGATCCGGTTTCAAGGGAAGATACATGGGGAGCGTCGCCCCCACGGCCCCAGGCAGGGAGTTCGGGGTTTGGTAGTCTTATTCATTCTGCCAAACCCTGGGCTTTTCCTTCCCCCTTTCTCCCATCCTTCTCCTTTCATTATATCCTGTGCAGCTGTCCGCTGCCCTCCCGACTTTCCTTGTCCTTTCCTTCCCCCATGCGTTGAGGCGGCGCGTGGGGCTTCCTCTTAGCCTCCCGGGTGTTTGTGCCGTGCCCGGCGACCCGTAAGCTGGCCAATGGAATCCTGGTGGTTGAGCCCTACCAGTCAGGGGGGCAACACGCCACTTTGGTCCGGCGGTCAGTCTAGAAGGGCGGCCGCGCCTAGCCCAGCGTCGGTCAATCGGCTGTGCCATCCCGTCAGAGGGCTGGTTGGGCGAGCCTCCACAGGTAGTAGAAGCCAGACGGGAATAGTTCGCTATGCTCGATGTATGGTGGAGCTACCTGTGGGGACTATACCTCCTTTTCCTAGGATTAACGGTATCCCTGGGGTTATGTCCTAGCGGAAGGCGATTATGGGCATAACCTCCCATTGAGGCTCCGTGGAGGGTGGGGAGCCGGGGAGGTGAAGACAAACACAATACTATGGGAGACAAAGTAAAAACAAAAGGTGCGCCTACCTCCTCAAATGTAGGCAAAAACAGCGAAGGTGGAGCTACATGCAGAGCTACCACTGGACACAGTAATATTACCAAGGGGTCGGCTGGTCCTACCCCCCGATTCCTGGTAATAAAGAGAATAGATGGCGATAATTTCATGAAAGTAAGTCCATTTCTGATATCAAAGACGTTATGCGGCTTGATTGGAGAATCCAATTCTGTGAAGAAAATTAAAGCTGGGCTGCTAGTTGAAACAAGAACAGATGGTCAAACATATCGATTGTTGAAGGTAGAAAGTTTTGCTAGTTTTCCTGTTACCGTTGAACCACATGCCTCTCTGAATTCTAGCAGAGGCGTAATCTACTGCAGGGATTTATTAAACTGTTCCGAAGCTGAAATTATGGATGAGCTAAAATCTGAAGGAGTAATAAAGGTACAACGTATAAAAGTAAAGAAGGATAATGAACTACAAGACACTCCAGGCCACATAATTACATTCAATTCTCCGAACATACCACAGAGACTTAGTTGCGCGATGTACAAACTACCTGTTCGTCAATATATCCCACCCCCTGTACGCTGTTTCAAATGTCAACGGTACGGCCATACCTCGATATCATGCCAAGAGGAACAAATCTGCATTTGCGGTAAGAAAATACACACTGGAAAATCTTGTGATCAGCCCATAAAGTGTGTGAACTGCAATGGTCCTCACGCAGCAAACTCCAAATTATGTCCAAGGTATAAGACAGAATCAGCTATACAGAAAGTTATTACTATCGAGAAAATGAGTTATGCTGAAGCTAGAAGGAAGGTAGTAATCCCTACCCCGCAAGCAAATTTATCATATGCACAAGCATCTCAGAAGCGCCCAGACGATGAAATAATAGAGAAGATTATACCACGTCTAACAGCTATAATTAGAACGTCGATCTCGCAAGCCATAGAAAACAAAGCAGTATGCAGCAGCACACCCCAGCAATTTGTCGCTCCATTGCCAAAGATAAGTCATGGGATTGCGTCTAGAACTAGAAGTCAATCAGATGCTTCTAACTCGTCTAAAAGAAAAGCTACATCTCCTGTAGATGGATCGGAACTTTCTGATGAAAGTCTCACCTCGTCTCAGACTGACGATCCAGAAGCAAAAAAGGGTACACGAGGCTGGAAAAAAGGCAGACCTCGTAAAACAAATAAAACCGCACTGTTTCAGTCGGAACAACCCGTTCAGAGTGATGATACAGAGCGTCCCAATCAACAGAACTCCGAAACTGAGCAGTTGTCGGAGACTGTGATACTTCTGTGATAAAATTAACTGTATTTTGATAAACTTATAATGTACTTTTCAATTTATTTACTTGTTTATTCATTAATTTATTTACTTATTTATTTGTCTATTTATATATATTTATTTATTTATTTAGTCCCTCACCTATTTGCTTATTTATCTCTCATCATCTATATACATATGTAAATATCCTTAATCTTCTCCTGAACCTTGCATGTGTAAAATAAATCTACTCTACTCATGCAATCCATCGTCCAGTGGAATATTAATGGGTGTGTTAATCACTATCCAGAACTGAAACTACTCATGCAGGAGAAAAAGCCCTTTTGTCTCTGTCTTCAAGAGACCCATTTCTCTCCAACCACGAAATTTCAGCTACGTGGGTTCAAATGTGTAAGAAAGGATGATACGCCGCAAATCCGTGCCAAGGGCGGCGTGGCAATATTTCTGGATGTAAATATCCCCTTTACAGAGGTCAACATCACATCCGAGCTTCAGGTTGTTGCTGTTCAACTAATAGTACCTATAAAATTGACCATATGCAACATATACCTACCCAATCAAAACTGGGAATATAATCAATTGAAAAGCATATGTGAACAGCTTCCCAAACCCTTTCTCTTAGTAGGAGATTTTAACTCGCATAACCCTCTTTGGGGCTCACAAAAACTGGACACCAGAGGGAGGATAGTGGAAGATATAATTAACGAAGCAAATTTAATGGTGCTGAATAAAGGCGAAGGAACATTTCTTAACTCTAGGTCGTGCAACTACAGTGCGATAGACTTGGCACTTTGTAGCCCAAGTGTATCATATCTCTTTGATTGGGAAGTTTTAGATGATCACTCATCTGACCATCTCCCAATACTACTTAACTGTGCCGTACAAAATACAAGTGTTCCACTTGCAGAAAGGTGGAATGTTAAAAAGGCAAATTGGGAGAAATTTCGAGAACATTTGACTCCAATGCGATTCAATATCTGAAACCGTCAGCAACGTTACTGACAGTATATTGAATGCTGCTTCCGAAAGCATCCCTAAAGCAAACATACAACCTGGTAAACCTATAGTACCCTGGTGGGATCAACAAATTGAAGAAGCCATTAAAGGCAAAAAGCATAACTACAATGTCTTCAAAAGAAACCCAACTCTGGCAAATATGATGAAATTCAAACAAGCCAGAGCTAGAGCACGGAGATTGATGTTAGCAGGCCAAAGAAATTCTTGGCAAAAATATGTATCTGACATCACTTCAGAGACCCCAAGCTCAGATGTATGGAAGAAAATCAGAACCATATCCGGCAAACACTTCGCCACACCTTCCCCAGTGTTACGAGTAGGAGGAAGAGAAGTTAC